AGATAAAACCTTTGTTTATGTGATCAGGTTTTCCCTGTGATAACAAATAAAAATGGCAACCAAAAGTGTGCCAATTAAACCAATGGTGGCTCCACATTGGATGAACAAACCAGTGCAATCAGGGCCTGAAAAGTTCTCCCAAGGAAAGAAACCGATTCGTTGGTGATTTTCATACTAGTTTCTGATTTCATCGTCTCCACATGAGTCATGACTGAAAATCTGAAATTTCCCTTTGATTTCTGGTTTAAGGTCATTTGGTAAATAACCTTTGAGTCACTGAAATAATATTCTTCTGTTTTAGAAACTAAAACCTAAAGTCTTCCTCCTGTTGGATGTGAAAACCTTCAAATTAAACTTGAGAATCTGTTCTTTTGGGTCGTGTTATTGATCCAGCTTCAATTTATTTTGGCTAAAACGTAATGCCACAAGTTGTTCCGGCGGCCAAATATTTCTAGACCAAAAGCTGAACTCTGGTTGAGAAAAGATTTTAGGGTTCACTTTGCAACTTTAAATCCTGCAGGCTGAGTGGTGGGATGAAGAACTAAACAATCACTTACAAGCCTTCTGATTAAAGGGACTGAAGTCATCTTTAGTACGAATTATAAATGATTGTCCTACCTGTTAAGTCTTCCTTTGCAACTGATGAGCTAACTGTTGGAACACAGCCTAGACCAAAGTGTATTGCTGCTGCTTTAACACTGCTCTAAGAATTTCACCACAGTGTATGCAATGTTTATTAACTTTTACAAAATCAGTTTTGCATTAAATTCATCTACATGAATGTTATTTTTATCTACCATCAGAAGTTAAAATTAGCACTTCAGAACAGTCCAGGCATCAAGTTTAGAAAGGGTTTCCTAATATGTCTCCGAAAATGACTGTTCATTGTACATTTTGTTCCAATAAAGGTTTATAAAAGGTGAACGAATCATTGTAAAATATTGGAGTTGGGTTTAAAAACGGCAGCAATCCGCTTTGGAAGTGGATTCATTCAACGATGTGTTTCCTTTCAGCTTGTTGATTCAGTCAGAATCGACTCAACTCTTAAGTGTGACCTCTGTTGTCTGCAGCCTCGGTTTGAAGGAAGTTAGTTTCCTCCAGGATTGATGAGCTAATAGCTAGTATTACTGTTGCTCCAGTCCCATGCATTTCACAGCATTTCATGCAAAAATTGTATCATATATTTACATTGCCATCAGTATTTTGTCACGACCTGGTTGTTTCTGCTGAAACATTAAATTCCTGCTCGACTTGACCTAATTATAATAATGGATCAGATTTTAAAACATTATTCATTCACTCACACCTAAAACTACTGTACGATGGCCAACGCCTCCCTGGATCAGTCTGACAGAAGTGAGGCTGCCATTTTGGCCACCACCAGCAATGGCAAGTAGCCCAAGGACACACCAGCAGAATTCCCTGTTGGGATCGACCAGGTAACCCTCCAAATACTGGACTACCTGCTCTTATTCCTGGGCTACTGCTGCTCATGCACTGGTAGTCCTATCCATCCATCCATTTTCATCCGCTTATCCGGAGTCTGGTCGTGGGGGCAGTAGCCTAAGGCGAGAGGCCCAGACTTCCCACTCCCCAGCCACTTGGGCCAGCTCCTCCAGGGGAATCCCAAGGCGTTCCCTGGCCAGGTGAGAGACATAGTCCCTCCACTGTGTCCTGGGTCTACCTTTAGGTCTCCTCCCGGTTGGACGTGCCTGGAAAACCTCACCAGGGGTCCAGGAGGCATCCTGACCAGATGCCCGAGCCACCTCAACTGGCTCCTCTCGATGTGGAGGAGCAGCGGGTCTTCTCCAAGCCCCTCCCGAAAGACCGAGCTTCTCACTCTATCTCCAAGGGAGAGCCCAGCCACTCTTCGGAGAAAACCCATTTTGGCCGCTTGTATCCACAATCTCGTTCTTTCGGTCACTACCCAAAGTTCGTGACCATAGGTGAGGGTAGGAACGTAGACTGACCGGTAAATTGAGAGCTTCATCTTCTGACTCAGCTCTCTCTTCACCACAACAGACCGGTACAATGCCCGCATCACTGCAGATGCAGCACCAATCTGCCTATCGATCTCACGCTCCAGTTATCCCACACTCATGAACAAGACCCTGAGATACTTAAACTCCTCCACTTGGGGCAGGATCTCATCCCTGACCCAGAGAAGGCATTTTACCCTTTTCCAGATCAAAACCATGGTCTCAGATTTAGAGGAGCTGATTCTCATCCCAGCTGCTTCACACTCGGCTGCGAACCGCTCCAGCGAAAGCTGAAGATCATGTTCTGATGAAGCCAACAGGACCACATCATCTGCAAAAAGCAGAGACCTGATCCTCAGGCCACCAAAACGGATGCCCTCTGCACCTTGGCTGTGCCTAGAAATCCTGTCCATAAAGGTTATGAACAGAATCGGTGACAAAGGGCAGCCTTGGCAGAGTCCAACCCTCACTGGGAACGAGCCCGACTTACTGCCGGCAATGCGGACCAAGCTCTGACACCGGTCATACAGGGACCTAACAGCCCGTATCAGAGGGCCTGGTACCCCATACTCCCGGAGTATCCCCCACAGGGCCCACTGAGAGACGCGGTCAATCACCTTCTCCGAATCCACAAAACACATGTAGACTGGTTGGGCAAATTCCCATGCACCCTCCAGGATCCCCCTAAGGGCATAGAGCTGATCCAGTGTTCCACGGCAGGACGAAAACCACATTGCTCCTCCTGCATCTGAGGTTCAACAATCCAACGGACCCTCCTCTCCAGAACCCCTGAATAGACCTTATCAGGAAGGCTCAGGAGTGTGATCCCCCTGTAGTTGGATCACACCCTGCGGCCCCCTTTTTAAATAAGGGGACCACCACCCTGGTCTGCCAGTCCAGTGGGACTGCCCCCGATGTTCACGCAATATTGCAGAGCCGTGTCAGCCAACACAGCCCCACAACATCCAGAGCCTTAAGGAACTCCGGGCAGATCTCATCCACCCCTGGAGTCTTGCCACAGAGGAGCTTTTTAACAACCTCAGTGACCTCAGCACCAGAGATCTGAGAGGCCAACCCAAAGTCGCCATTGGAAGACGTGTCGGTGGGATTGAGGAGAAATTCGAAGTATTCTGCTCACCGATCCACAACGTCCTGAGTAGAGGTCAGCAGCACACCGTCCCCACTATAGATAGCGTTGGTAGCGCATTTTGGAAGTTCTGTCGGAGGTGGGAATTGAAGCTCCTTCTGACAAGAGACTCTGTCAGGCGTTTCTGGTAGTACTACTTTAGCACTAAACAACTGCAGAATTTGAACTAACCTGATTGTAGCTGTAGAGATTCAGACAGAAACATCACATGATCTACTGTGAAGGTGGGACCGCTTACAGGACTCACCTTTAGCTTCCCAGTTCTGTCTGACAGGGACTTGTTAGGGACTGAGGTTGTCAGGAAGCCATGGGGGTAAAACAACAATCACTGATAAATTTGACTCAAACACACTGAATGTTTATTTGGATTGAATCTGAAAATTATGGTTAAATTGATTCCAAAAGAAAAGTCTGATCTTTATCAACAGATGAAAGTCAGTTTCTAACTGTACCTTGTAAGAAGGTTGTTTCGTGTGTTTGTTTCTTTATTGTCATGTTAGGATATCTCTGGATCTTTCACCTTTTTGACATTCTGACTGTAGCGGCTTTCACTCCCTTTAGGCTTGGTTTTATTTATTTATTTCCTCCAGTCAAGAGAACTGTGAGAACTCCCGCCATGAGGACCATCCTGAAGAGCAGACTGCACAGCAGCTCTCCTCATTGCTGTTATGGCACTGAGGGCTCTGAGCCAAACCATCCAAATGCTGACGTCACCTCCACTTCTGTGCTGCAACAAGCAGGGAGAAGTGTGTGTGTGTGTGTGTGTGTGGGGGGGGGGGGGGGGGGGAATTGGTTTCCTAGCCCCTTTTTGTCTGTGATACATCATGAAAATAAAGGTGCCAGAGGCCCAAATGAACACATTCACCTTAAACGTGCACTCTCCCATGTTGTTCCAGAGGGGAATCCAAACCGGTCTGCGGCTAACAGCCTTCCTGACCACAGCGTCTGTCACTGCTCTCTGCTGAGATAAATAAACAGAGCCAGGACAAAGGTCACCAAAGGTTTCAGCAGAAAGACTTTTTAAGACTTGGTTACTCTCCTCTGAGTCTAAGTGTTTTATTAGTTTGTTTCTCTGCTGTTGAAACTTAAACCAGCATGAGAATAAAACTTTCATCCCCAGAAATAAAGAAGTGATTTGGACATTCAGGAAGCTGTCGCATCTTTGTACGGTTAGCTTTGTTAAGAAATGTTTTCTCCATCTCACTCACAGAATCTTTGTGATGGCGTTGATTTAAAGTGAAGAAAAAAAGATTTCCTCAAATAAATAACAGATTAAGTGCCACACCTAGTGGCTGAAGAGAGTAGAGCAACCCCCTGCTTGTTTTTCCAGGTGCCGGAAAGACGTTCCTATGACTACCTGGATCCCCTGACTCATTTAATTTTTCATCAGACACACACATTTCATCTCTGATCTGTATTTTTACACACACACTCCTCACCCCTCCCACTGCTTCTATGATAAATGTAAAGGAGTTTTCATTGATTTGCGTTTGTATGTATTTGTGTGTGTGTGTGTGTGTGTGTGTGTGTGTGTGTGTGTGGTGGAGGGTGAATACACGCTGGACTTGGTTTAAAAAGGAGATGGGAAGTTTGGGACGGAGTGTAATTAGATTTATTTATTTGAAACTTGGACTGACACTTGATTTATGACAATCTCCGTTTGAATACGAAAATAACTTGTTGGTATAACCTAAAATCACCACAGGCATGGACTGAAATTCCATATGCTCACACAAAAACGAGGAGGGCAAAAATAAATAAATAACATTAAAAAGCGCGATTTTTCTCCCCTCTTTATGATGATCCAACTGCTTTAGAGCTCACTAGGACCCGGAGGCGATCTCGAACCGGGCTAAGGGCGCTCTGGGTGGGTTTGGGTTGTGGGAGTAGGGAAAAGGGTGGAGGATGAGCGGAGTCACGTCCTCAACATCTTCATGAAGAGCAAACACAAACTTCTACATCCCCGCACGTGACAGCGGCGCGCAGCTATATGAGGGAAAAGGCAGCAAGCATCAGGACCAGTCAGCCTCAGCAGCGCGCATTACGCACGTGCCTTCACCGACTCTCCTCTTTGAAGCAAGCGACACGTGCGGGTTTATTTCTGCTGGACGCACCGGTAAAGTAGCTCCGAGCTTTAAAACAGAGCCAGGACAAAAGGAAAACCCTCCCTCTCTCCCAGCCACCTCTACCACTTCTTTTTTTCTCTCCTCCTTGTCGGACCTCCGCTCTCCTCTCACCACACAAGTTCCTCACACACTGAGAGGGATGCTGCACGCTCCAGAGTCGCACTTGCACTCAGAAGGAACCTAGAAAAGAAACGGATCGGATTTAAATCTCTCTGAAGGTGAAGAGCATCAGGTCGTCTCCCGGAGCGGTTGCCTTTACGCACGGTTTTTCGTTCATGTTTTGGAGGAAATAGGGGGAGTTTGATCGCTGTCCCAACACATTAACACACAGACTTCCATCCTCACGAGCTGTTGATCTCGTTACTCGTTTATCACACCTTTGTTTTTCACTCTAAAAGCGGACCCTTCTTATTGACAGGAGGACCGGCGCGCTCTTTTAAAATGATTCCAGCGGGCGACGTGATGCCATGTCGCATCTCGTCTGTTTGACATCTGAGGATCAGATAAAGCAGCTGGAGGAGGACATTATCACCCAGTAACCCACCCAGAAACCAGCTTTTTGTTCGTTTCTTTTTCTTTTTGTTGGAGTCCAAACATCAGCCCGCCGCCCAGATGCAGTTTCGACTCTTCTCCTTTGCTCTGATCGTTTTGAACTGTTTGGAGTACAGCAACTGTCAGGCGCCGTCCCACCGCTGGAGGAGAAACAAAAGAGGTAACATGAGGTTAAACACTTTCAGCTTTTAGACCAGCGTCCAGAGAGTAACACTCACATGCTGTTTATGTCAGTGAGACGGCACCATCCTCATGCGTCCTACAACCAAAGTCTGAGAGCCGCAGGTGAGAGCCGCAGAGCCAGAAGGCTCTCCAGAAATCCAAACACAATCCAGATCTAAGCCACAACAATTTGTCAGCATGCTGTGCAGTAGTTTAACGTTTTAAAACAAATGTTTGACACATTATTTAACGATTTCGGTGTGCGCAAAACCAAGTAGGTGTCCAAAAATGGCCAACTAACCCCGTCTGTCTCTGTTAAGAACACGTGTTTTAATGAACGCAGCCTTTACGCAAACGTAAATCTAAAAATTATTTTTATGCTGTAAGGATTAGGGATAATTTTGTGCGTAAATATCACCAACCCAGAAGCCTTGCAAATGGCGCATCTCCACTCCAGCTCCCTAAGCTGGTTTTAATTGATCTTCACTCTGAACAGTTGGTCGGAAACTACAATAACAATTGCTCAGCGGAGGCGCAGAAGTCGGGACGGGGGATCAGCCTCTTTGTAAATAGGAATGGACCAGGAGACAGTTGGATTAGAAGCGTGGCCCCCGCGGAGCTCTCCTCACACCTGACTCGTCACGTCAGCTGGACCGAGACAGGAGTTGTTGTGTTATTTATTTTGGGTTTATTTTTATTATTTTATTGAAAATGGAGGAAAAACTGCAGGAGGGTAAAGAAATCACAGGTTTAATCAGATGCGCTGCGTGCCAGGGGGAACCTCCACACTCTTCGAGCCCTCCGCTGCCCATCTGCAAATAATCAGGCGATCACTGCGGGGTACTGGCACACACACGTTCTCCAGCTCCTCTGCGTGGTTCCTTCTCGATGCGCTGTGTGATCCCACATGTCACGGTCTGATCCGTTTTCTCAAAGAGGAGACTTTTAAAACAGAGCATGGTCAAGGAGACGCAACAGATGCGTGTGTGTGTGTGTGTGTGTGTGTGTGTGTGTGTGTGTGTGTGTGTGTGTGTGTGTGTGTGTGTGTGTGTGTGTGTGTGTGTGACGGCTGGATGAGATCAGGAGGTTAACTTGCAGAGTTGACCTCAACAGCTTTTGACTGAGGCGTCAGGTTCCGCTGAAGACAATCGGCAGTTTTCAGCTTCCCTCCTTTATTTATCATGATTATTTAAAAAGCAAATGTAAGAAACAATGTGTGTGTGTGTGTGTGTGTGTGTGTGTGTGTGTGTGTGTGTGTGTGTGTGTGTGTGTGTGTGTGCGAGTGCGAGAGAGAGAGAGAGAGAGAGAGAGAGAGCCTGTGTGGCATGCTGAGAGAAGCCACTTGGACATGTCTAAAACACATGTAGCGAAACACATCCTGCATAATATAACAAACACCATGTTCCATTGGCATGAACAAGGATGTTTCGTCATTAGATATGCTGCGTTACCATGTGAGGCGTTGAGGATGGCGATATGAGAGTAATTAGAGAGATGCTGGGGGGTGAAGCAGTCAGTCAGCTTTTATGACTTCAGTGGAGATTGGGATCTTTGTGTGGTTTCTGGGCTGATCTTGTCTTGCTAGCACACAGCATGGCATGACCCAACAACCCATTTGGCTGTGGTAACATTGGTGCTTTTAAAATGCAAAACAGATGACGAAATGTATTAAATTTACACCTCCTTACCTCTTTTTCCTGCCCACTAGAAACAGGAAAATGATGCCAATGAGCCCTGCTATGATATCATAGCAAGACACAAGGGTATTACTTTTCATTTTTATTCTCTGGCTAATGATGCCACCTGCTGACTACATAAAATCAGGCTGAGCAGCAGCACTGCCTGGAGGAACGCAGCCACACAGTGGGGCCCTGAGATGTTTAAACAGGTAATGAATAGGTAATACCAGTCAGGAGTGGTGAAAAGCTGCCATGTGACGCTGTTAACCCTTCCTTCATCTGACAAGAAATCACAAATTTGAATTCTCAGCACACCCTGGCATGTTTCAGATCACATTCAGCTGTACAATCTGTTACTCAGCTGCATTTCCAGATGTTTCTGAAGTGATCTGATGGAACCAGAATACCAGGCTGGAGGAAGTGAGCTCAGAAATGTATGGCATCTCATACAAAGAACTAAGTGGTCTCTTTCAGCAGCGTATGACAGAAATCGTACTTATCTTCGACTACTTATGTGTTTATGATTTTAATTCTGTGGCACAAGAAAAGCTGGCTGTGTGCTTTTGAACTGCAATGTTATAGAATTTTCTGCTAAGCTACTCAGACACAGAGGTCTTTTTTTTATTCTAAGCCCTGGAAATTAGGCCTGGGTGTGCTGAAAGCTCACACCAAGTCCCAGGTTTGTGGGTGTAAGTGTTAATGTTGGAACGCAGTCCTTCAGCGCAATATTATACATCGATTAAGTGCCTGAGGGGGACGCGAGGGAGCTCTCCAACAGGCTGCTCCAAAACAGCCTCGCCATTCTTGCCTCTGGAAAAATTGAAACAGCTCGTCTCTTAACAAGGCCTTCTCACATGATGCCACTTTAATCCAGGTGATTCTAACTGAAGCTTCTCCTTTATGCATCCACAAAGCTGGCATAATTTCTTATTTTACATAATCAGATCACCAGTTTGGGACTACATGGCATGAATGTTGAAAGACATCTAATCCTTTTTATTTTCATCACTACTCCGAGGGCTATGATGGTTGAAGTGGAGGGTTTTAGGGGTAAGAAGAAGACATATTTAAGTAGATCAACTGGAAATGCTGAATGTGAACATCATCATCACCTGAGTGGGATTACAGCAAGCCGAGTCTTGACCCGATCCTGGGCTCTGGCATAAAAACAGAACTCTGTATCTTCTTTCCCAGACTCCTTAAGTGTGTGTGTGTGTGTGTGTGTGTGTGTGTGTGTGTGTGTGTGTGTGTGTGTGTGTGTGTGTGTGTGTGTGTGTGTGTGTGTGTGTGTGTGTTAAAGAGAGGGGGAGAGAGAGAGAGAGAGAGAGAGAGAGAGAGAGAGGAGGGGACAACACAGGGACAGGTGGGTGATGTAGATGATGACGATGTCTAAGCCCGCTTCTCCTTCACCTTGCCCCACCTTCTCAACCAATCAGATAAAGCGTCTGCCACAGGGAGCTTCATTGCCATTAAGGATGATGAATTACTTATGTACTGATAAATCACATTAGTCAATGGAAAGACTTGCTCCATGTCTGAGCTGACCCTGGATTGGAGTCCTGCTCTCAAACACAGCGGTATCAAATGAAGGCAGAGAAACGGTTCTCCAGCTCACCTTCGTCACGCCACACTGATGAAAACTCCTGGACGGGGAAAAAATGGGAACTTTAATCTTCAGAGAGGCAAAAATAAATTTCTTGAAGACAATATTGTGAAAAATTACATACTTGATATATTTCTTCTCATACGTTTTCCCAGAATTAGAAATACAATATGGTGTCATCAACATATATAATAACTATCCAAACATAATCCCAAAGTTAAAGTTGAGATGAAACAGTGGTGATTGCAGTTTTAAGCTCCGCCCCTTTCACGTAAATGAATGGACCATTGTCCAGACATAAAAATAAAACTTCCCCCGATAAACCTTTCCAGGTGCTGACTGTCGAAGTTCCTGTGTTACTTACTTTCATTAGTTTTCTGATGTTTAAATAACACCTATGATTGTGTTCAGGTGGGTAGGCGGGGCTTGCAGCCCCACATCCGTGTAAATGGAAACTTTTGTCTGACTGACAAAACTACAGTCTGAGACAAGTGGTTTAAATCTCACACTTCTCGTTTTCTATCCCACAGTTAAAGGACCTGGTGTTCCCAGACATCCCTTACTGACCTTCAAACAAGAGTAGGATAAAAACTACAACGATTGCCCTAATTTTAACCGTTTTATCAGAATCAGAATCAGAATAGGTTTATTGCCATTGTCAGTGAACAAACAATTCACAAACTAGGAACTTGCTTTGGTACTAATGTGCTACATATAACATGAATAATAAGATTAAAAATAGAATAAAATAGAATAAAATATAATAAAAAAACTAGAATAAAACTTTCAGCGATAAAAAATGGCAGGTAATGGTAACATGGCCGATAACGTGACGTTGTGTTGAGTACAGAAGACGAGCATGGTTGTGTACAGAAGATCACAAGCACTCCTAAATTCAGCCTGCTTTATGGTGTTTCATGTGGGCTACAGCGATTATGTCCTGATGGCTGCTGTTCCTTAATTCGTTTATCAAAGGGACATGGCAAAAAACAAATTGTAAGAAAGTAAAAAAGTCCAAAAAGAAAATGTAATCTTCTCTAGAAAATATTTGATATAAGGTAAAAATGCCTAAATGTGATTTAAATTTTCTTGTTTTGAGTAAAAAAAGTCTGCCAATGGGGTAAGCAAACGTTGCTTGGCTATTATTCTTAAAACTAGCAAACAATTTTCACATTTTATTTATTTGCTAAGTTTACGATATCTAGCCAGTCAACTCTTGCTTACCCCACCCACAGATTATGTATTTTTTTTTTACTCAAAACAGGAGATTTTGGATCATGTTTAAGACTATTTACCTTATCTAATGCCATTTTTCTAGAGAACATTATATATTCGTTCTGGACTAAAAATAAGATAAAATGTGTAACAATTAGTTTTTTTTAACTTTCTTAAAAATCACATTTTGCAGTGATATCCTCTTTTACATAATCAGAGAATCCTTTTTGGAAAACTGAAGATTGAAACAGATGCTTTTTACTTAAATTCATTCATTTCCCACAGTTATGAAATAAAACAAAGTTATTGTATCAAAAATGTACTTTATATTTCTTCACTGTCATCGGAAATTCCCAAACAGGCAGTGTCCCTTAGTTTGTGAATGATTGTTGCAACCCTCACCTTTTCCCACTGCCTCTCTCCATTACACACTCCCCTGCAGCAACAACCCCGTAACACGTTTCCTTATAAAGTTGCTAAATATGACCAGCCAATTTGGTC